GTGTTACAACCTGTCAATCAAAGCAGCTTCCTGGGGGAAAGGGGGAGGGGTTACCTTGTGACCCGGGACTCGCTGGGTCCCACCTGGTGGTCCGACCACGAAGTGAACGTCTGCCATCATCTCATTGTTGAACATGACTGAATTCCTTCAAACACAAAACAAGAAACATCCTGTCTGTGTGACGTCACGGGTGTCTGTGTGACGTCACGGGTCAAAGGTCAAAGGTTCAGGAACAAGAACTGATGATCCAGAACCACTTTAAAAGGACTACAATAGTCTGGATCTTTGGGAGGAATCAAAAGACCTGAGAACTGGACCAGGACTGGATCTGGACCAGGACTTTTTTCACTACATCAGCATCTATTTAAAGAGTTTAATCTGTAAAAACGGAACCATTTATCGTTTGGACCCCAGAGTTCTGGACTCTAGTTTGAGCCAGACTTCTACAGGACTCCTTCAGACCTGGTCCAGGTTGTCCCCATAGACTCACCTCTCCCGGATGGTCGGGTACAGACCCTGCCAGCTGAAGCAGCCCTGCGCCGTGTTGTTGTTGCTGAGGTTCTGCCGGTTCTGGTTCTGGATGGAGGCGGACACCAGTTTCTTGGTGGGGAACAGCTCTGCAGCCATCCTCGTCCAGTCAGACCGCAGAACGGATCATGGCAGCTCCTGGACCCGGACCGAACCGTTCGAGGAGCCGAACAGAACTCCAGAAATCTGCTGGTTCTTAGCTTTAAGCTAGCATTAGCCTCAGAACCGCTTCGAGCCGAACACCGACGGAGGGTTCGGGCTGTCAATCTCCTCCCTGAAACTGACAGGAACCTGAGTCCAGATTAAATTAATCTGAGTCCAGATTAAATTAAACGATATTTATTAAAAGAACGGAGAAAGACGCTAACCCATGGGCTAACCGTGTCACAGCGGACAGCCAATCAGAAAGCAGCTTCTTCTTCTTCTTCTCTGTTTTTAATGTTGTTCAAAGTGAAGCTCGGTCACACAGCGCCACCTGCCGGACAGAGACAAACTTCCATCGTTTGTCCTTTTATTTTATTTTATTTTATTTTATTTTTATCTTTATTGGAACAAAACATCAGTACACAACAACCGAGTGGATGAAACATACAGAACACAACACTTACATGAAACAGCATAAACAAATAAATATAAAGTTTCACATCAGGCCTTTTCATTGGAAGAACATTTATTTCCACATCCTTGATAAAATGAACAAAACCAAGCTTTTTATTACTAAATTTACATTTATGGATATAAAATGTAGCCAAAAATAATTAACAAGTTTATTATAAAAAGCATTTAGCGTCCTTTCTGGGGAACCTAGAAAAACAAAAACCGTCATTTTATCCGGTCCAGTCCAGTCCGGTCCGGTCCAGAGTGGTTGTTCCTCAGTTCTCCATCACCTGGTTGATGGTTCTAACTGGGATAAAATGCTTTTAGGATTCCTCCCGACTTCTGTCTGAACCACTATCTGCAAAACATGAACAAATAGTTTATGAAAATGATTACTACTGATTAATATGAATTCTTCACAGTATTCTGGCTGAAGCAGTTTGCAGTGTCTCTGGGACAGAGCTTTGAGTTTTAAACAGACACCTCCTGTCTTCTTACTGTTAACAACACATCTCATAAGCTAATGACAGGATCATAATGAAACTCTCACATAATCATATCTGAACTGATTAACTTTTAGGGTCAATCCCACTTAAGATGGCCACAAAATGAGGGACTACAAATAAAAACTACAAAGATGGCTGCCACCCTGTCAGACACATGGAGTTACACAGATCTACAGTAAACATGTATTTTATATTCTACTCATAAAATTTACTGTGTACTTGTCAGTGAGGCTATTATTATTATTATTATTATTATTACACACGTATATTTTGTTGGTGTGTTTTTGTTTTCTCTTGTAGGTGTGAGGCAGACTATAAATGTTTTCTTAAAGCATTTCTCTCATATCTCCTTGTTTCCCTTTCAATCTCTTTTTTCACTTTTCTCTTTTTTTCTTTGTTTACTTTTTCAGTTTCAGTGTCCGCTACGAATTAATCCCAAAAGAATTTAGAATAAAAGGTTTGAATATATATCAAGTGGAGCATGGTGGTAAAATGTCACTGCTGCACCTGTGRAAGTAAAACTGTTGGGCTTCAGTTGGACACACTGCCGGACAGGACACTGTAAAATAAATAAATAAATAAAACACAGTAAGCTAAGCTGTTACAGCTAGAAGATACAGAACACTAGCTAAAAGGAGTTCAACATGAGCTAAAAGCAGCTAAATGTTAGCAAAAATAGCTAAAGCTAAAACTGAAAAGAAAGCAAGAAGCTAAATTTGGGGAAAATGTTTAAAAGTAACCAGGAGACCCTAACCTTAGCTGAACAGTAGCCTAAGACAAAAACAGTTGTAGCTGAAACAGATTTTTAAGGAAACGAAACATTTTAATGTGTTTCTGTGGAAACTGTTTGTAAAKAATTCAACGTTTAGAAAAGGAGGTGAACATTTAGCCATGCACACAGCCAACAGTACAGCTTGTGATCCAGTGTTTTCACACTGTTCCTCTCAGAGCAGCTGCTGATGATCAACTTCATTTAATCTTCAGTAAATTATGAACCGGCTGCAGATGATCTTAAACAGTTTCTAAGAAAAAGTTCAACTTTGAGGAAACGTTCCTGTGAGGAGACAAAACAGTTAGGGTTGTTGTTCAGAATCACGTTTTCTTTTATTGTTTCCATAAATGAGTCATGCTTGTGTGTGGAAGAAACCAAACTGTGACTGAAAACACGTGAACTTTCTGTACAGCAGATGGACTGACCCTGGACCAGTTCTCAGAGGGGTCAGCTTTCTGGTCTCTGATGGTAAAAACAAACATCTTAAAGCTCAGAGAAGTGGTTTCTGCTTCAGTTTATCTGATAAATCAGCTCGTTTACAGCAATCATCAGGTGTTTCAAACTGAACATTAAATAAATAAATATGAAAAATCAACAACAGYTTTCATTCATAAACAATAAAACTTTCACCTAAATCTGGTTTGAAATAAAAAGCTCTGGTTTTGGGGAACATTTAGCAGGAACCAGCTCAGTTTAGGATTTTCACTGAGAAATCAATTAATTTACTTTACATAGATGAAATCTTTTAGGAAACTTTCAGACAAACTGAATCTTTTCTCCTGAAGCTAAAAACTAAACTCATCTGTTTCARTCTGAAGCCAAAAGCTGCAACTGCTTCACTTTACCCTTAAAAACAGCTTTATTTAGAAAACTCTTGGGTCTAATGTTTGACAGAAACATTTTCAGGATCAAACAGAAACGTCACGACAGGAAGCAGAAACTAAAAATTGAATTCAGATTAAAGTTTGTTTTCTTCACTCATTTAAAAAGAATAATAAAAAAAATAGTTCCCTTAAAATCATTTTGTCCACCTGGTTGATAAATAGATTTGTTTCAACACAAACTGTACATCAAACTTTTTACAAGATTTAGATAAAATAAAAACTTCTGAAAGTTTCAAAATAAAAGCATGTTGTAGTGCTGAGACGTGAAGTCATGAACTTTTCAAGTAGAACAGAATAAAAATTTTTTACCTGCGTCTGAAACATYAAACATTTAGAAAACTACTGAATTATTAAATCCATGTTTCCAGGACATTTCCAGGACGTTTCCAGGATGTTTCCAGGTGGTCAGTTTATAATGCATCTACAGATCTAAGCATGAATGAGGTTGTTTACAACAATCAGCTGAGTCACCTCAGGAGAATCTCTTTGATTATTTTGGCCCCTGAATAAATAAAAGGAAAACTTGGCAGCAGAAGTTTTTCTGCAGGCTCGTCTGACAGGAAATTCAAAGCAGCCGAAGGTTCATCAACTTCCTGTCTGTTCATCAACTTCCTGTCTGTAAACAAACTTTAGAATAACAAGGTTTTTATGAAAATCTGATTGAACTTTGGTTCTTTGAGAGATGATTTTTTGCATGTGAACCAACAGGAACCCAGCTTTAAACCATCTGAAACCCAGAGCAGCTCAGAGGTTTTACCTCTACCTGCAGGGGAAGCCAGCTGAAGATGGGACCAAATAAAATTTTAGTTTTAGGCTGCAGGAAGAACTCTGGACCATAAACCATCAGACTGACATCAGAACCTGAGTCTAAACCTCGTGCTTTCATTGGATCACCAACACCATAAAATATGTTGTAGAAGAATAAAGGCACATATAAAAACAAATATTCTGTAAAAACAACACAGCTGAATTCAGACTCCCCTGACATCAGAGACTCCTCCAACCTCAGAGACCTCTCCAACCTCAGGGACTCCACCAACCTCAGAGACTCCTCCAACCTCAGAGACTCCTCCAACCTCAGAGACTCCACCAACCTCAGAGACTCCTCCAACCTCAGAGACTCCTCCAACCTCAGAGACTCCACCAACCTCAGAGACTCCACCAACCTCAGAGACTCCACCAACCTCAGAGACTCCACCAACCTCAGAGACTCCACCAACCTCAGATACTCCTCCAA